TTCTGGAGAAAAAGATGAAAATGTGAAAAGTTTACAACAACAACAACGGCGACAATGACAGACAAATTTTGATCAGAAAAGCTCACTTGAGCCTTCGGCTCAAGTGAGCTAAAAACACCATCACTTGAAAAACCACCTTCACATGAAAAACCACCATCACATGAAAAACCACCATCACATAAAATCAAAGTACTGAAAGTACTACTACGAGTTGATGGTATTGATTATATAATGTTTAAATGAGTTGAGGTCTCTAGTCCATATATGGATTATGTGATATTATGTGCAATGATGAAAACTATCACTTTAAAATCTTTTCTTTTTGTTTTCTTTGAGAAATAAAATTACATTATTTTATTTACACCTTTTGCATCATGTATTTTTAACATGTATATTTATTTTTTTAATTATCTACTGGAATGTTTAATAATTTATTACAAATCAAACCTTTAAACATAGAAAACAAATAATATTAGTTAGCTTTGGGAATTTTCGTAAAATGACAATGTAGCTTGCATTTAAAGTAATTTGTATTTTAAATATTAAAGGATACCATCATTGAAATGGTCACAGAGTACAGTTTTTGGGCACTCGATATCATTTGACAGAAATATTATAATTATATCAAGTGACTAGAAATTTCAAATAGGAAAAAATGGCACAACTGTTTAAAATCATATTACAGAATTAAACCAACTCCTAAATAGAACAAGATGTGTTTGTGAAACACTGATGCCCCCGTATGGCAGCTTATGGCAAAGGTAAAAGTTTCTCAAATACAAGTCGAACTCCAGGTCAAGAAATCAAAAATGTTGGTACCCAAAGAAAGGTCTTGTCTCGAGAAATATACCTGTAAACCGTTGACAAATTATGGCAAAGGTTAAAGTTTTTTCAAAGTAAGTAAAAGGTCAAGGTCAAATGGTGCCCAAGGGAAGGTCTTGTCACAAGTGATACACATGATAGTAAAAAAGTGAAAGCCATAGAACAAAACGTTCAAATGTTATGGCCAAGGTTTGAATATTTTAAAAGTAGGTCAAGGTCAATGCCAAAATTGTTGGTATCCTAAGGAAGATCTTGTCCCAAGGAATATACATGTGAAGTATGAAAGCCCTAACACCAACTGTTCAAAAGTTATGGTCAAAGTTAACGTTTTTCAAAGGTAGGTCAAACTCCAAGTTCAAGGTCAAAGGGTCAAAGTTGTTGGTATCTAAAGAAAGGTTTTCCCACAGGAAATGCATATGTGAAGTATGAAAGACCTAGCTCAAATTGTTCAAAAGTTGTGGCCAAGGTTAAAGTTTTATCAACAGTAGGTCAAACTCCAAGATTAAGGTCAAAGGGTCAAAGATGTTGGTACTCAAAGAAATGTCTTGTCACAAGAAATACACAAGTGAAGTTTGAATGCCTAAGCACCAACTGTTCAAAAGTTATGGCCAAGGTAAAAGTCTTATAAAATTTTGCAAAAGTGGGTCAAACTCCAAGGTCAAGGTCAAAAGGTCAAATATGATGGTACCCAAAGAAAGGTCTTGTCACAAGGAATACACATGTGAAATATGAAAGCCATAGCTCCAACCAATCAAAAGTTATGGGCAAGGTTAAAGTTTTTGCGGACAATCAGACAGATTGACAGACAGACAGACAGGCAGACGGACGGACAGGGCAAAAACTATATACCCCCGAATCTTCGATTACGGGGGCATAAAAAACAAGAAAAAGCTTTAAACACACATACCTCAAACTAATAGGCCAAACCTACAATAGTATTATAAGTAGGGAATTATTATTTACAAATAGCGCAAATTGAATTATTTCATTAACATGTACATTGAATATTTTCACTGCTTTCTTAAATTGACAAACAATTTGACATTTTCAATATGTTCCAATTCTCATGTTTTAAGCCAGTCTTAAAATTAATATCATTTACTTTTGTTTATATGTATATTACATAATTCAATTTTCTTGATTTAGTTACAGTATTGAAAATCAATTCCTTGTCTTTCAAAATTTACATGCACATATGATATTTCAATTTTTCTTGATTTAGCCACTCTTGAAATTCAATCCCCTGTCTTTTATGATCATTGATATGCACAATGAATATTTTAATTCTCTTGATTACGCTACTTTTGAAATTTAACTTCTTGACTTTTAACTGAAATGAGCATTGTATATATCATTTCGTTTGGTTTAGTCACTCTTGAAATATAACTACTTGACTTTAATTGATATGCACATTTTATATATCATTTCTCTTGGTTTAGCCTTTCTTGAAATTCAACTACTTAATTGACTTTCATTGATACATGTATGCAAGTTTAAAAAATTTCAATTCTTTCGGTTTTTCGACTGAAGACTTTAAATTCATCACAAGGGCATGATATTGACCATTTACATGATCTATCTCCTCTTGAATTAATTTGATTTCTTGACCTCTTCACATTTATAAATATGCATTTCACATTACTATTAATTCACTTTATAACATGTCCAGCAAAACACAGCTGGACATATTAAAGGAAACCACTTTCCAGTGTAGTGCCCACAATTAATGAGATAAGAATCACCGCGTGTTAAGTGGCCATTGCTGTATTTAAAGCTTGCTGTGAAACGGATCTAGATTGTGGAAGACAGGAATTCTTAACAGTGTTTTTAACAGGGAAAAAGAAATTGGAGCCCAAAGTTGTCCGCTCCTGAAAAAATCCAACCCTTGAAGCAATCGAAATCTTTTATTTCTTGCACAAGAAATAAGAACTTTAATTTCAAAATTGTTTTTTCAACTGGTACAGCTCTTTTCTTCCGTTTGAGATTAGTAGTTGATTTACCTCCACCTTCTTTACTGCAAACTTCTCGCTTTGTTTACAAACATAAGAAGTGTTTTCTGTGTTGAACGATTCATCACTAATGCGGGAAAACTTCTCTGTTCATTAGCATAACAGCGCAAGAATTAGTTTATTTATATACCACCAGCACGTCAATCTTTTAAAAATAACCTGGTTTGTACAATTTTTCAATTTTGTGAATTTTCTTTAAAAATCTGTTTTCAAAATACTTTTTTAAATTATTATATAAAACATTTGTTGATTTATAAATCAAAACTTTGTTTGCTCGACATGTCACTTTTGTTGACCGCATGTCCCTTACACTATTTTCTTTCGCGGATGGACACAAATTCCAAAAAAAATTAATAATAAATATTTATATTTATAAACACTTCAAAGCATATCAGGAAACATACATTGTTGTTCTGTAGATCATGAAAACTGTAAATAAACCAATATTATACAAGAACACGTACGCAAAATACTAAATCAAAAATGTGATTAGTTTCGATACATTGGGGAATCCCTTACAAGTAACATAACATGAGTTGATACAATCAACTCGTAAAAAACCACCTTCACATGAAAAAACAACATCACATAAAAAAAAACACCATCAAAAAACCACCATCACATAAAAAAACCACCTTCACAAAAAAAAAACCCACCATCACATAAAAAACCACCTTCACATGAGAAACCACCTTCACATAAAAAACCACCTTCACATGAAATAACCACAGCATAACATAAGAAAACACCATCTTCTCATGAAATAACCACAGCATAAAATAATAAAGCACCATCTTCTCATGAAATAACCACATAAGACAGCTATGGCGTTCCATAAGTTTCAGTGCAAAACTGAATGCTGCTAGAGCTCTCGAGTCTCAGAATTTTTTTTATTCTTAGTTAATCATTTTTTTTATCATTTATAGTCCTTTAATACCTTAGTTTCAATCATCAGCTCTTGATAAATCATGATATAAATATACAACAAACACCTAAAATATGTCAAAAGAAAAGTCTATCATTGCAGAAATGTATTGCATCACAGTACATGTAAAAGTAAGTACATGTGTTTGGCTCAAGATCGAATCTTGCCTTTTCACTTGAGCATAAAATGAGTGATCAATGAAAAAATATATATTTATTCAGAATTGACAACATATTTGTACAAAAAAAAATATCCTGGCATCCCTGAAATCAACCCAATGGCAAAGCATTGCGTATTTCTTTCATTACAACAAACAAAAATATCTTTTACAACATCAGTTTCAGTGCAGAACACAGATTGTGTGCATAAACTATGGATTACTTAATGGACCATGTACATACATGTATAAACAAACTGAGAGAGAGAGTATTAACAATTAGATCCTCTGATGTTTAGGAATGGTCATTCATGTATCTAAAATTCAACTTTTTAAATAAGTACTATGGACTCAAGAAAGCATGGATGCAATAAAGGTCCACTATAAACATGCAGAAAGGTCATTTTAAGAAAAAAAGTTTTGAAACTCCGCCTACACGTTGAAAGCTTTGGCAAACAAGGAAAAGGAAGTATTGGGAGAAACCCCAATAAGATGGAGGAGTATGTTTCACAAACTGTTGATTTTTTAAACAGGATTATAGACAGGTGTTGTCTATTTTACCTGACCTAGTACGATCAGTGTAGATCTTTATCTGTATAGAAAAGGATTGTCCTGTTCTGTATCTGTCAACAAACACCTCACTCAGGTAGTACAGCATGATTTCTGAGATTTGATTCAGATATTAGAAATTGGTCATAAAATCATCCTTGGAAGATGTAGTATTCAGACAGCTTTTAATGTCATGCTCTATAAACTGCATTAATTTGTGGATGAAAAATCATATTAAAATCACAAGAACCTCATATTAGGCCACATGAAACTAATTTTTAAATTCTTAGCTGTGGTAAATATTACATCCACCCCACCCCCTCCTCCCCCGCACACACACAAAGGATGAAATAGTTTATCACAAACATAAAATCAGATTTTAAAGTTATATTTCTGATGTCTTTTCCCTAATCAGAAATTTTGATTCCACGAGTAAGACCTTGATTAAGCTCCAGTACATGCCCACTGAGCCTTAGCAATACTATGATAAATATCTTTTAATGATATTCAACAACACACATTTTCTGTTGTTTTGTAGGCGACAATGTAACGTTAGTTGGATGGGGAACTCAGGTCCATGTCTTGTTGGAAGTTGCTAAAATTGCTCAGGAGAAACTCGGTGTATCGTGTGAGGTTATTGACCTTCGGACTATATTGCCCTGGGACTCGGACACCATCTGTAAGGTAGGTCAGGGTCAGGGGTCACAAAAACATGAGGTTATATCCTGGGACTCAGACACCATCTGTAAAGTAGGTTAGGATCGGGGGTCACAATCACATGAGGTTGTTGACCTTAGGACTATACTTCCCTGGGACTCGGACACCATGTGTAAGGTACAGGTCAAGGTCAGGGTCACAGATCTGGAATAAAAAAAACTCATTTGTTAAATATACTGTAAACATACTTATTTTAGCAGAAGCATATTTTAGTGCATTCTGTTCTGTTTCTTGCCTGCCAATTTATGTACTTGCTAATAAATGATTAAAAGTAATGCATGTAATTGTTGTTGTTTAAACTCTTAGTGCACTAATTGAGTATTGTGCTAATCAGCTAATCAGTTGAAGATGACAATTGTGCTAAATTCATTTTATATATATTTAAAGTACATGTTTAAGAGAATTACACTTATTGAACCTTAAATTTTTAATATGACTGCTTTAGAAATAAAAAATAGAAATACATGTCACTTTTATTTCATGAATAGTCCTTCATATGATACTACAACTTTGAATAATTAATTTAACTCTACTGGGTAAAGTTCTCTTAACTGAATTATTAAAGCATTTGAATAACTGAAATGTACCTTTTATAATTGGTAGATCATATGTATATGCAAATTTTGTTCCCAAAGATCTTGTTGCAATGGGTAGCTGAAGTATTGTGATTATTGGAATCTGGATTACCTAAGCTTGATGGATGTTTGTTTTTATGTTATACACAATTTTTACTTGCAGTCTGTGGTCAAAACAGGCAGATTACTAGTTGCTCATGAGGCTCCCGTTACTATGGGCTTCGCTGCTGAAATCGCAGCAACAGTACAGGTACTTCTTGTTTATAAATTATCATTATTTAAAATTGAGGGATCAAGGTGGATAAATAATAGGATTCATTAAAAAATGTCTGCAAAAACATTTTTGTCCCCCTCCTTTCACTAAAAGTTATATGAAAATAAGCAATGATGAGTCTGCAATGTAAATCAGTAAATAAATATGTCATTCAAGACATTGAATTTGTTTCTAAAAGTATTGGTAATGGTTTTATGTATGGGATCTAAAGAAGTCTTTAACTTTTAAATGACAAACCAAGATATTTATCACATATCCAATGAATTTTGTTACAGTCTGAGTGTTTCCTGAACTTAGAGGCACCTATTGAACGAGTATGTGGCTATGACACTCCATTTCCCCATGTGTATGAGGCTTTCTACATCCCAGATAAATGGAAATGTTTAGAAGGAATCAAGAAGCTAATTAACTACTGAACTATTGGTCTGGGAATTCTCAGTCACATCACAATCAAAAAAGTACAATGCAGCCATATTGTATAAAATACTTGCTGCTGCAAAAGGGAGACCGAAAACTGTGTGGAGTACGTAAAAGCGCCATTTTGTGCAAAAACAGTTTTGTACTTACAGCCTAACTGAACTTTAAGAAGGGTTTTGACATAAATTTTTTTTTCTGGTTATTAAATTTGCATAAAATCAAAAAAAAAAAAAAATACACTTACATAAATATGGTGTTATACGTAATAAATGTCAATTGAGGATTTACCTCAATTTCCCATATTGTGTGAATTTCAACAGGTCTGTATATTGAATTTCCATTCGCGCAATATGGATTACTGCTGCTAAGCTACACGTAATACTTAACCTTTTTGTATTTGTTATACGCATTTAGACAGAACAATTTTCTAAAACCTTCAATCAACAGCTAGACTCATGTAATGATGAACTAGAAATTCATAAAAATGTATTTATTTAGCTTTATGAATTGTTTAGTACTTGACTACTGCGTATTTGATTTTAACAGCTGAAGTGATCTGATTGTAATATTTGAAGACTTAGCACTCTATGGTACAAATTGACCTATTTAAATTTACTATGAAGGACATTTGCAAAGTAGCTTTGCTGGTACTTCATGATTATATCATATAGATGTGTGAGAATATTTTATACTTGTACAGAGTTATATTAATGATGAGAAAAGGAAAAAGAATCAGCAAATCTTGCAATTTCAATAACTTTGTTTACAGACTTGAATCTCATATGACGCATATCATTAATGCTAATAAATTATTTGGTGTTTTTGTTGATGTTTGTGTTTTTAGAAATAAATGGACCTGTTTATGCAACTTATAAGTAAATTTTATGGTCTGTCTATTGTAGGACTAGTTCAGAGTAAGTGTGTGCAGCTTCTTACTGCCTCACTGTCTAGAACAGTTGCAATGAAGTCAACATACCATGCACACTGTTGGTTAAAGGAGTATATTAATTCAAAGTACCAAATGTACTTATGGGAGTTCAGCTTTTCAAACATTT